GTGACAACTGAGAACTGGCCTCAGAAGAAAGAAAAGTTGAAAAGCAGACCATGACCCTCAGGAATAAATACATTTTACCGCCTACAAATACACACATATATGAAACGTTTCACAGCCCAGTGTTTCACAATTGTTACTATATACTGTGAACTTTAATATACTCTTTTATTTAAATCGAAATAGAGTATATTAAAGTGCTGATTGTAAGTAACCTGCTATTGATTCTGTGACCAACCAATGGATCATGGCCGAAAACATCAATGTGCTGTGATTAGAACTGTGTTTCCTATAGTGCATGTTCAAGAAAGGTATTAAATGATGCCTTTCTCTCAATGATTTTCTTTCACAAGCCATATTTATTCTTAATGACACAGCACCTTTTTTATAATTTAGAAATTTATCGGAAAAGCAATGTATGGTAAAGAATTTCAACCTTACACCGTAGCTTGACTTCCCAACCAAAGAAGATGAGGAAATTAGTGCCCTGTACTCACTTTGTCTTGTCCATCTGCCTCTTTCTTTCTTTCTCTCTTTCCTTCTCTTTCTTTCTTTCTTTCTTTCTTTCTTTCTTTCTTTCTTTCTTTCTTCTTTCTCTTCTCTTCTTGTTTCTTCTCTTCTCTTCTCTTCTCTTCTCTTCTCTTCTCTTCTCTTCTCCAAGAAAAAGAGCAACAGAGCACAAATGGGGGAGAGGGGCAGAGGGGAGAGGGAGAGAGAATCCCAAGCAGGCTCCACACTTAGTGCAGAGTATAATGTGGGGCTCAATCCCATGTCCCTGGGATCATGACCTGAGCTGAAGTCAAGAATTGGATGCTCAGCCAACTGAGCCACCCAGGAGCCCCGTATCTGCCAATTTCTGACTCCTGTATCATTTTTCTTAAATTGTCAAGTTTCATAATATTTGTATTCTGTTTTATAATTAGAGTGAGTCTACTGAGCATTTTCTGTGGCTGACTGCCAAATTTGGATTTTAAGTAAATAGTATTTACGATATTTCGGTTATAGATGTGGTATTTACTGTAGAACCGAGTTGTATGGTTGTACGAAAAGGATATATAATTCTGTCATGAGCTATGTGTGGCTAGGTGGAGAATGTTTCAAGTGTCATTACCAAATCATTTCTCTTGTTATGCTCTAAAATTGCTCAAAATCATGACATGCTTTAGTCTGTTCCTATTTGGAGTATACATTTCTAATTTACCTCTTTTTTTCAAGGAGTTTTTGATTGCCTTTAATTTTCCTTTTTGGCAAAACAAGAATATGCCTTTGTCTTGTTGGTAGATTCTTTTTCATTTTGTCTGTTAAAAGAAATCCATTTTCTTGAAAGCACTCTATAGCCCCCTGTTCCCTCTGGTCTAACCCATTGCATAGCCATTGTCCTGGGGTTTCTCTTACCCTACTTCTGAGTTAGAGCTGTTGCTTGAACCCATTGTTTTCTTGTTGGATTCCTTCCTTCCTTCCTTCCTTCCTTCCTTCCTTCCTTCCTTCCTTCCTTCCCATCTTATTAGAGTATATTCTCAAGTAATTTTTTTGTTTGTTTTAGAAAATATCTAAGGGCGTAAACTTTTAAAGACTTTATGCATTAGAAAATGTCTTTACCCTCATATTTGACTGATGGTTTGAATTTCAAGTTTAAAAATATTTTTCCTTGTTCTGCTCAGCACCCATGACCTCCATTCATTCTGAAGACTGGTATCTTTATCTTTTGTATTTTAGATTATTTCTTTTTCTTTGTGCCTTTCTACAATTACTGTTAATCAAATAGTAAAAGTCATATGTCAGCTTTCTGTGTTTCTTAAACAGATTTTTCTTTTACTTTCCTCATTTCTTTGTCCTTTTCTCCCACTTTAAGGCTTTCTCCTGATTTTTTTTTAAAAAATGCTTACTTATTTATTTTCAGAGAGAGAGTGTGAGTGAAGAGTGGGGGAGGGGCAGAGAGAGAGAGAGAGAGAGAGAGAGA